TAGTCGAAGTATTAGGACCTATTAATACTTTACCCTATATGGTTCACACAAATTTTAAATTTAAATTTAAATGAATTCAAGATTTTGAGATGTGTCATTTGAAAGACTTGCATTGCATCCAAGGTTAATTCAATTAGTTGACTCATATTGTTAGATGATTTAATTATTTTCCTTTCGTGAGGATTCATAATTTGAAATGGATTTAGTTTCATAATTTTGATTGGACCATATTCATTTATAAATTTTAATCACTTTGATTTTGATCGATCAAAGTAATTTAATTAGTGTTATCCAATCCAAAGGTGATTAAACACTTCAAAATTTTCAATCTCTAACTACTGAAAAACCGCAACTCACCTTACACATACTTGTAGTTTACGATGCATTGATTTTTTTTATAAATAATATATACTAAGAATTCTAAAATAATCAAAATAAGATTTATGATAAACTCTACTAATTTTTCAAATGATCTTAAGTTCAAATCTAATAAAATTATTAGATATTTTCAGAGCAACACGTGTCCATACTCCTTCACTAATCATTATTCACTATGTCTCTCATGTTTCTTAATTATTCAACATAAAATCATAAATCTTACATTCTCTACTAATTATAATATCTTAGAGTACCACTCCAACAATACCCAATAACTTCCCAAGAACCTAACCCTAATTTTATTGCTTCTTGATACATCATAGCTAGAGACTACTCGGTTCCTCTAGGGTTTAGGCCATCGCATTTATAAAATCACCATTTTTATAGGCCTCTCAAAGGTCACTTTCCTTTCCATGCCTACATAAGTGTGTGCATGTATATATATATATATATATATATATAAAATATCCACCTAATAGATTTTTAAATTTAAATTGCTTCAACTTCCTCCATGTAATCAATGGCTTCTTCAAACAATGTGTTACCTCCTACTTCTACAACCAGAGAGTATTTTATGTGGAAATTTTTTGAATAATATAAGAGTATTATGTGTTTTTACTGAGCAGGCCTTACGCGTAGGTCTTAATAAGTGGAATTATTGTTCAATAGGTTATGTGAGAATTAATGGTATTTTTCATCAAATACTATTAAAAAAGTTACTAATTATTAATTTTTAGCGATAATTTAAAATTTGTCACAAAATGTTACTAATTATAAGTTTTAATAACAGTTTAAAAAAATTATCATAAAAAAGTCACTGATTTGCAAATTTCAACGACAGTTTGAAAATTTCGTCACAGAAAAACGTCACTAATTGTAAGTTTTAACAACAATTTATAAAAATCATTATAAAAAAAAAATTACTAATTGTCAAATTTTAGCAACATATAAAAAAATTGTCACAAGCAAATTATTTTTAACGACGATTTTATTAGAATTTATTCTCAATAGAATTTGATGAAAATTAAGTCGAAGTATTAGGACCTATTAATACTTTACCCTATATGGTTCACACAAATTTTAAATTTAAATTTAAATGAATTCAAGATTTTGAGATGTGTCATTTGAAAGACTTGCATTGCATCCAAGGTTAATTCAATTAGTTGACTCATATTGTTAGATGATTTAATTATTTTCCTTTCGTGAGGATTCATAATTTGAAATGGATTTAGTTTCATAATTTTGATTGGACCATATTCATTTATAAATTTTAATCACTTTGATTTTGATCGATCAAAGTAATTTAATTAGTGTTATCCAATCCAACGGTGATTAAACACTTCAAAATTTTCAATCTCTAACTAATGAAAAACCGCCACTCACCTTACACATACTTGTAGTTTATGATGGATTGATTTTTTCGTAAATAATATGTACTAAGAATTCTAAAATAATCAAAATAAGATTTACGATAAACTCTACTAATTTTTCAAATGATCTTAAGTTCAAATCTAATAAAATTATTAGATATTTCCAGAGCAACACGTGTCCATACTCCTTCACTAATCATTATTCACTATGTCTCTCATGTTTCTTAATTATTCAACATAAAATCATAAATCTTACATTCTCTATTAATTATAATATCTTAGAGTACCACTCCAACAATACCCAATAACTTCCCAAGAACCTAACCCTAATTTTATTGCTTCTTGATACATCATAGCTAGAGACTACTCGGTTCCTCTAGGGTTTAGGCCATCGCATTTATAAAATCAACATTGTTGTAGGCCTCTCAAAGGTCACTTTCCTTTCCATGCCTACATAAGTGTGTGCATGTATATATATATATATATAAAAAAAAAAATATCCACCTAATAGATTTTTAAATTTAAATTGCTTCAACTTCCTCCTTGGAATCAATGGCATCTTCAAACAATGTGTTAGCTCCTACTTCTACAACCCACAAAAGAGTTCCCAAGTCTCAACTGTCATTGGATTCCCAAGAAGAAGAGGTATCTCATATATATAGATTAGATGTATTTAAATTTTTGAATGATTAAGAATCCTTAGTTTGGTTGGATAGATAATACATGAAAATGATAGAAAAAGATTTTTTTATTTTATTTTATTTTATATGTTTGTTTAGATAGAAAGTACTAAAAAGGTTATATAGATAATACTGGAAAATGAAAAAAAAATAAAATAAAATAAAAATTGTGTTTATTTAGATAGTGACAACTCAAATTAACTTATTAGTTAGGCTAATAATGCCACAAGCTTGATTCCCTTTGTGGCATTCAATTGTGGAATTCTTTTTTTGCCATTTTCTTTTTTGTTTGTATATTTGTTTGCTCTAAATAAATGTGAATGTGTAATATTTACACCGGACTAAGGAATTTTTATGAGGATTTTGTTAATTTGTGTTCTTAGTACATATGTTAAGAAATTTAAAAATGTTTTATATTTTGTATGAAAGTTACCATAAAAAAGGTACAATACCTCTATAGCAAGACTTTTATGTAATTAGCATTATGATAAATTGTATCTAAATCCTGACAATTTACACAAGACATTGAACTTGATTTGTAAAATAGGAAAAAAGGGAGGGAAATGGTACTTCATTATCAGAGATCTCTCTCTATCTGATTTTTTTAACTGGGTGTTCGAATTAATTTGTGTGCACTTTGACTAATATAATTGTATATTAAATCGGAGGAAATCCTTTTCTGTATTTCTTGATGTGGTATTTAAGGGTGGGATACTTTTGTTGTTTTAATGGTTGATTTCATGTCTTTGTAATTTCTCAATTGATTTATAATTTTTTATCGTAACTTTTATCTTTGTGTAATTTTTCTAAAAACTTCCTATATCCTATAATGAACAAATATTTGATGATAGTTTGTTTGTTTTTTAAATTATTCAATTTTTTTCTCAAATAATAAAAATAATCCTACTAATACCCTTGTCGAGGGGTGTAAATTTGGCCCATTGGCCCGCAGATCACCCGAAACCCAATTGCAACCCGGCCAGGCCAGAGCCTGAGACCCTGGGCCTAGGCTGTTTGTTTCAAAGCCCAGCCCACTAGGCCCGCTCAAGGCCTAGTGCCATTTTTTGTGGAAAAAAAAGAAGAAGATTTCAATGGAAAAAAAAATTAAAAAATGGTCAAACCTAGCCTAAGCCCAGGCTCGCTAGCCTGACCTAATGCCCAGCCCGCTAGCTTGCCCAAGACCTTTGGATTGTAGGCCGCTACTTGAAGAGAAAGTATTTTATGTGAAAAATTATTGAATAATGTAAGAGTATTTTGTGTTTTTACTTAGAAGGCCTTACTTGTAGGTCTTAACAGGTGTAATTATTGTTCAATAGGTTATGTGAGAATTAATGATATTTTTCATCAAATATTATTTAAAAACATCACTAATTGTTAATTTTCAGCGATAATTTGAAATTGTCACAAAATGTTACTAATTACAAGTTTTAGCGACAATTTAAAAACTTGTCACCAAAAAAGTCGCTAATTTGCAAATTTCAGTGACAGTTTGAAAAATTCGTCACAAAAAAAATCACTAATTGTAAGTTTTAACGATAATTTATAAAAATCATGACAAAAAAAGTCGCTAATTGTCAAATTTTAACAACATATATAAAAAATTGTCACAAACAAATTATTTTTAACGACGATTTTACTAAGATTTATTCTCAATAAAATTAATGAAAATTAAGTCAAAGTATTAGGATCTATTGATAACTTTATCCTATATGGTTCACACAAATTTTAAATTTAAATTTAAATTTAAATGAATTCAAGATTTTGAGATGTGTCATTTGAAAGACTTGCATTGCATCCAAGGTTAATTCAATTAGTTGACTCATATGTTTGGATGATTTAATTATTTTCCTTTCGTGAGGATTCATAATTTGAAATGGATTTAGTTTCATAATTTTGATAGGACCATATTCATTTATAAATTTTAATCGCTTTGATTTTTATCGATCAAGGTAATTTAATTGGTGTTATCCAATCCAAAGGTGATTAAACACTTCAAAATTTTCAATCTCTAACTAATGAAAAACTGCAACTCACCTTACGCATACTTGTAGTTTACGATCGATTGATTTTTTTCATAAATAATATATACTAAGAACTCTCCAATAATCAAAATAAGATTTATGATAAAGTCTACTAATTTTTCAAATTATCTTAAGTTCAAATATAATAAAATTATTGGATATTTTCGGAACAACACGTGTCCATACACATTCACTAATCATTATTCACTATGCCTCTCATGTTTCTTAATTATTCAACATAAAATCATAAATCTTACATTCTCTACTAATTATAATACCTTAGAGTACTACGTGACCGTACTCCAGCAATACCCAATAGCTTCCCAAGAACCTAACCCTAATTTTATTGCTCCTTGATACATTGTAGTAGCTAGAGACTACTCGGCTCCTCTAGGGTTTAGGCCATCGCATTTATAAAATCACCATTTTTGTAGGCCTCTCAAAAGTCACTTTCCTTTCCACGCCTACATAAGTGTGTGCATGTGTATATATATAATATCCACCTAATAGATTTTTAAATTTAAATTGCTTCAACTTCCTCCATGTAATCAATGGCTTCTTCAAACAATGTGTTAGCTCCTACTTCTACAACCCACAAAAGAGTTCCCAAGTCTCAACTGTCATTGGATTCCCGAGAAGAAGAGGTATCTCATATATATAGATGTATTTAAAATTTTGAATGATTAAGAATCCTTAGTTTGGTTAGATAGATAATACATGAAAGTGATAGAAAAAGAAAATCTTTTTTTTTTTGTATGTTTGTTTAGATAGAAAGTACTAAAAAGGTTAGATAGATAATACAGGAAAGTGAAAAAAAAAAAAATTGTGTTTATTTAGATAGAGACAACTCAAATTAACTTGTTAGTTAGGCTAATAATTTATTGCAAAATATACAGGAAAAATTATTTTTTTCCACAAATTTACTCCAAGTTTATTTTGTTTTTCTTTTTGTCCATAGTTCTCTCTACAACTCCCGTTATGCAGTGATTATATATTTTTTTCCATTATTTTCTTACAAAATTTTGCATCTATTCAAATGCATGCAAGAAAATAATTTATTTTTTAATTTCTCTCCCTTCACTTTCTATCATTTTTATTTTCTATCTTCCTTTATTTCTAAACAAATAGAACCAGAGAATTAACTTTTGAATATTTTTTTAATTTGTTATGAAAAGATATGTAAAACATAGGGATAAGTTTTATTTACTTTATTCCTCCATATCCGTCTCGTGGAGTAAATCTTCAATGTAATGGTGATTACCAACAAAAAATAAACCCTATATGGGAGGAATGAACCTAGTTTTAGCTTGCCACGTATGCTTAAGAGGGTAAATGCTGAGATACTATTAGATGATGATATCACGTCATCGATATCATTGTTACATTGAAGTTTTTTGTTCCTCTTGTGGCTGTAACCTAGCGCATACAGATGATCTGAACCAATGCAAAGTTTTATGGGACAACTATATATGTGGGAATAAATTGTATTTTGTTTTATAAATTGGAAGGTATAAGTTTACAATCTTATTTATCCTTCATTTTATAAAACAAAATGTGATTTGTTGTTGCGTTTATGTTCGATTAAATTAATTTTTTTGTATGAATGACTTTGCGAGCTCTACAAGAGAAACAATTCAGATCATTGACATGAAGTCCAAATTGTAGACCATAAGAATATTGTAGAGATGAAAGAGGAGCTCATCCCAAAAAAACAGAGAGGATGAGTTGATTTTTTGTGTTGATTTTTTTATTATTTTAATCGTCAAACATTTCGCTTAGCAGTTTTGACCATGTTATGAATAAGAAAAAGTGGTTAGCACTTATTTGAGGTACATGCTATGATATACGGACACAGATATAGGATGCGATGATCTCAAAAAAATGGAGACACGAATATGGCAGGAGACACAATAAATTTTTTTTAAATTTATTTTTATATATATTTGTTATGTAGATTAATATTATGTTACTAAACAAACAAAATTAATAAAAGCTAACATTAATTCACTATATATATATATATAACACCACTATATATAAAAAATTAATAAATTATCCATATTTGGACACGCTTGTTCCCTACATGTTCCCGTAGTATTCCCAACAAAAAAAGAAAATAAAATTATTTGGCACGTCCCAGCCATGTCCCTTGCAAAAAAATTAATAAAATTAAAGGGACTCTCCATTTGGCGTGTCCTGTATGTGTCTTCAATGTGTCTCCATGTCCAACACTGCCACAACGCCTATTTTGAAGTGTCCGTATTTCATAGGGTAGAGGGTGTTCTTAAAATATAAAATTTGATTCCCTCGGTCCCTTAATAATCACAGTGGGTCTCTTAATTTGTAATTTATATAAAAATTTTCTTCTCATAAAAAATTTGTTGGTCGTATGAATAAAAAAATAACGTTGGCATCTCTTTTATCTTTATATTTTTATACCATCTGAATTAATTTTGGTCTCTTTTAATTTTACTAAAAGAGAGATTAGTACAACTATATCAAATTTATAAAATTTACTACATTTTCTCTGATATTTGAGGAAGGTCAATGTGATTTAACTACTTTTTTTTTTTTTTTAAGAACGAAAACAAAATACATGGCAAGGAGGGGAAGAGAATCCCAACCCCTATGTTTATTTATTTATTTGCCTGCTTTATTATTGTTGTCCCCAACTCCATGTTTATTTATTTATTTGCTTTCTTATTGTTTTTTTTAGCTTTTTTTTAGTTTTTTTTTTTTGCTGCCAATTATTTATATGCTTTCTGTTTTTTAGTTATTAATAATTTAAAAGAAATTACAAATTTTTTAGATGTAATGTAATTACCACAACAAACACAAACGAAAAAATGAAACAATCCATCAATTAGGCCTGATGCTTCTGTATACTTTTTCAGTTTAGTCATTATAATAAAACTGAAAGGTACCCAATCAATTATTAGAGAATATGACTTCATAAAAACGAGACACTTGTGTTGTTTTTATAGTTGAGAGGGTCAATTGCACTAAGAACTCCTGAACTTGAGTGTTGTTTTTATAGTTGAGAGGGTCAATTGCACTAAGAACTCCTGAACTTGAGTCTTAGGCCTCGTTTGATTTAGTAATTTTTTGGTTATTTGGTTAAAATATGAGTTAAAAAAAACTAATATGTTTGGGATGACTTTTTGATTTTTTACGAAAAAATGTGCAAAAAGTAGAGAGAAAAGAGAATATTTGACTTTTTGATATGAATTGTTGACTTTTTGACTTTTTTAACAACTTTTTGACTAAATATGCTGGTGCCCAAACGAGCCTTAATCAACATTTAACACAAACCTTTCACACATATACGCATGAGTACTTACACATTCACAAATCTTCACACCTAAAAACTTTTTTGGGGCTAAAGACTTTTCAACAAATTAAAGACTTTAAGAATTTCCTTGAAATATTTGCAAGTCTCCAACTTGAGCTATGACTAACAATTTATCCTTAACTTTTCTTCTTCTTTTTTCTCTCTCAATTTTCTTTTACTGCTGTAGATAGAGGTCCTCTTGAAGATTCCTGAAACACTACTTTTGAAGGTAAAGAGCTGCAACACAATTGATGATGTTAAGCTTAAAATCCAAGATCATTATGGTATTCCACCAAACCTTCAAGAGATATTTTCGGCTTGAAATCGCCTTGAAGATGGTCATACATTGTGTAATTATGATATCGTCAAGGGGTCTACCCTTCACATGGTCCTCCATGGTGCAGTGGTGTTTCAAGTATTCATTGAGATGTCTTCATGTGGCAAAACAATTACACTTCAGCTGAATATGTCTGATACAGTTCTGAACATCAAGAACGTCATTGAGGTTGAGGAACGAATTCGACAAGATCTTCATATACTTTACTATGGTGCAAAACAACTTAACGATACCCAGAAACTTGTAGACCTAGACATCCCAAAAAATTCACCTTTCAATTGTTTGTCAAACCAACAGAGGAGCTGCAAATATTTGTAAATGTGGCACGAAAAACAATCCCTCTTGAAGTAAAAGGTTGGCATACTGTTCGAGACATCAAGGCCATGATCCAGAGCGTGGAGCAAATTCTAATTCATGCCCGAAAAAAAGTGAACTCCCACACTTCGGCCAAATATGACCTCAAAATGGATCCGATTATACATCTAGTTTGTCCTTTGATGGATATATTCATTAGGATACGTCCCATTGGTAAGATGGTTTCACTAAAGGTAAAAAAGTGGATCTTGTTGCAAATGTGAAGGCCTTGATTTTAGAAAAGAAGGGGACACCACTTCAGCATCAAACACTGACCCGTGATGGAGAGCCATTGAAGGATGAAGACACACTTTCGGCTTGTGGCATTGGGAAAAAATCTACTCTTGACATGGACTTATGCCCGAGAAGTGCAATGCAAGTCTATATTTGCAAGAAAAATCAAGAATTTGAACCACTTGAAGTGAGAGCTTGGTATGCAGTCATTGATGTGAAGAATTTGATTCAAGGCACAGAAGGAAGGTTGCATGATCATCTTGAGCTAGTTTATAAGGCAGTGCCATTGAAAGACTCCAGAACTTTAGCTGACTATGGCATCAAAGAGAAATCAACCCTTTTCATGGTAAATTCCTCAATTCTGATCTATATCGATGCACAATTCAGGATAAGAAAACACCAGAACTTGAGGTGTCAGGATCGGACAATATTCACCATGTCAAATACATGATTCATGACAAGTTTTGCATCACTCCAGATTCGCAGAGATTCATTTTTGCTGGGAAAGTACTTGAGGATAGTCACTTGTGTTGGTAAAATGGTTTAATATAGGCATATTGTTTGAGCCTTTTGAGTGGGCCCCAAACGTATTTTGGGATGGGTCCGAAGAGGTGAAGTGTTATTTGCCGCGTGGCAAGTCACACGGTGAAGACGGTTCGTCAAAATCATTTATGAGTAAATGGAAAGTTGACGTCGTTTTTGGATCTAACATTAATTTTTTAGATAAAATTCTTTTGAATTTTTTCAATAAAAAAAAAATTAGTGTGAGAATTTAATTTAATTCTAAATTTTATTTTTGAATTCCTAAGTGTTTTCCTAAAATTTGTAACTCTTTCTTTATTTATTAAACTATTTCAATGATTTAATATATATATATATATAATAAAGTAATTTTTGACATAATAAACCACCTTTTTTTTCTTTGACTTAGTCAACGAACGGATCTTTTTTCAAAATTGTGTGGTATAGCTGTTCTAAAAAATTAATAAATTATCCATATTTAGACATGTTTGTTCCCGTAGTGTTCCCAACAAAAAAAGAAAATAAAATTATTTGGCACGTCCCAGGCATGTCCCTTGCAAAAAAATTAAAGGGATTCTCCATTTGGCGTGTCCTGTATGTGTCTTCAGTGTGTCCCCATGTCCAACACTGCTACAACGCCTATTTTGAAGTGTCCGTATTTCATAGGGTAGAGGGTGTTCTTAAAATATAAAATTTGATTCCCTCGGTCCCTTAATAATCACAGTGGGTCTCTTAATTTGTAATTTGTATAAAAATTTTCTTTTCATAAATTTTTTTTTGGTCGTATGAATAAAAAAATAACATTGGCATCTCTTTTATCTTTATATTTTTATACCATCTATTTTAGTTTCGGTCTCTTTTAATTTTACTAAAAGAGAGATTAGTGCAACTATATCAAATTTATAAAATTTACTTCATTTTCTCCGATATTTGAGGAAGGTCAATGTGATTTAACTACTTTTTTTTTTTTATTAAGAACGAAAACAAAATACATGGCAAGGAGGGGAAGAGAATCCCAACCCCTATGTTTATTTATTTATTTGCCTGCTTTATTATTGTTGTCCCCAACTCCATGTTTATTTATTTATTTGCTTTCTTATTGTTTTTTTTAGTTTTTTTTTAGTGTTTTTTTTTTGCTGCCAATTATTTATTTGCTTTCTGTTTTTTAGTTATTAATAATTTAAAAGAAATTACAAATTTTTTAGATGTAATGTAATTACCACAACAAACACAAACGAAAAAATGAAACAATCCATCAATTAGGCCTGATGCTTCTGTATACTTTTTCAGTTTAGTCATTATAATAAAACTGAAAGGTACCCAATCAATTATTAGAGAATATTACTTCATAAAAACGAGACACTTGTGTTGTTTTTTATAGTTGAGAGGGTCAATTGCACTAAGAACCCCTGAACTTGAGTCTTAATCAACATTTAAGACAAACCTTCACACATATATGCATCAGTACTTACACATTCACAAATCTTCACACCTAAAAACTTTTTTGGGGCTAAAGACTTTTCAACAAATTAAAGACTTTAAGAATTTCCTTGAAATATTTGCAAGTCTCCAACTTGAGCTATGACTAACAATTTATCCTTAACTTTTCTTCTTCTTTTTTCTCTCTCAATTTTCTTTTACTGCTGTAGATAGAGCTCCTCTTGAAGATTCCTGAAACACTACTTTTGAAGGTAAAGAGCTGCAACACAATTGATGATGTTAAGCTTAAAATCCAAGCTCATTATGGTATTCCACCAAACCTTCAAGAGATATTTTCGGCTTGAAATCGCCTTGAAGATGGTCATACATTGTGTAATTATGATATCGTCAAGGGGTCTACCCTTCACATGGTCCTCCATGGTGCAGTGGTGTTTCAAGTATTCATTGAGATGTCTTCAAGTGGCAAAACAATTACACTTCAGCTGAATATGTCTGATACAGTTCTGAACATCAAGAACGTCATTGAGGTTGAGGAACGAATTCGACAAGATCTTCATATACTTTACTATGGTGCAAAACAACTTAATGATACCCAGAAACTTGTAGACCTAGACATCCCAAAAAATTCACCTTTCAATTGTTTGTCAAACCAACAGAGGAGCTGCAAATATTTGTAAATGTGGCACGAAAAACAATCCCTCTTGAAGTAAAAGGTTGGCATACTGTTCGAGACATCAAGGCCATGATCCAGAGCGTGGAGCAAATTCTAATTCATGCCGGAAAAAGACTTGTGAACTCCCACACTTTGGCCAAATATGACCTCAAAATGGATCCGATTGTACATCTAGTTTGTCCTTTGATGGATATATTCATTAGGATACGTCCCATTGGTAAGATGGTTTCACTAAAGGTAAAAAAGTGGGATCTTGTTGCAAATGTGAAGGCCTTGATTTCAGAAAAGAAGGGGATACCACTTCAGCAACAAACACTGACCCATGATGGAGAGCCATTGAAGGATGAAGACACACTTTCGGCTTGTGGCATTTGGAAAAAATCTACTCTTGACATGGACTTATGCCCAAGAAGTGCAATGCAAGTCTATATTTGCAAGAAAAATCAAGAATTTGTACCACTTGAAGTGAGAGCTTGGTATGCAGTCATTGATGTGAAGAATTTGATTCAATGCACAGAAGGAAGGTTGCATGATCATCTTAAGCTAGTTTACAAGGCAGTGCCATTGAAAGACTCCAAAACTTTATCTGACTATGGCATCAAAGAGAAATCAACCCTTTTCATGGTAAATTCCTCAATTCTGATCTATATCGAGGTATGCACAATTCAGGATAAGAAAACACTAGAACTTGAGGTGTCGGGATGGGACAATATTCACCATGTCAAAAACATGATTCATGACAAGTTTTGCATCCCTCCAGATTCGCAGAGATTCATTTTTGCTGGGAAAGTACTTGAGGATAGTCACTTGATTCTTCATTGTTATGGCATCGAAGAAGGGTCTACCCTCAATTTGGTTGATTGTTCCAAAGGAGATGTGAAGCAAATCGTTGTATCTATGCGTTGGTGAAAAAGTATGAAGTTTAGTGTGAAAATTTGGTATACTCTACATGTTTTGAAAGCTATGATCGCAAGCATGGTGGGTCTCCCCATAGACCATCAAATCCTGATCAATAATCAAAACAAGCTCGAGGACTCTCGGACTCTTTTTTACTACAACATTGAGGAGGATTGCACGATTCAAGTGATTTCCCCTAGGCAGATATTTATCAAGACATGGGAACGAACCATAGTACTCGATGTGGAGAAATTTGATACAATTGACAGTGTCATGAACAAAGTTGGGAAAAAGCTGAGTTTTACTACTGATTGTCTACGTCTCATGTTTATTGGGAAGTCGCTCCAAGGCCATCAAACTCTAGCAGATTATGGTATCCAAAACTGTACTACTCTTGAACTGGCCATGGCATTCTAATTGTTGAATCAAGATTGGAGATACAGAGAATCACAGACAATGTACAAGGTAATAATGGGGAGCATTGAACTTTCTCCCTTCTCTTTTCTTTTCTTTTTCTTTTTCTTTTCTTTCATTAGTATTGTTTTGTGTATCTATCCAGGCCTTGGCTAAAGACTATAAAGCTCAGTATTTGAATATCACATTCTGATGCAAGTTTGAGGCTTTGTTGGCTAAGATTTTAGTGGGTACAGTAATTTTTCTTTAGAAACTTCACTTGAATTTCACAAGCTTTGTCTGATAATTGATTAAATGGTTTTTTGAATGGTTATATAACACTAGGGCATACCTCTCTCTCTCTCTCTCTCTCTCTCTCTCTCTCTCTCTCTCTCTTCTATTACTGAATAAGTATAGTTGCACAAATGAATCTCACATCTCATTCTGTGAATTTCATCTATGTCTCTAGCACTGATGATTGCTACTGCTGCTATTACACAACCTCACTGTTATGGTTAAGTGACCAATTTTACCATGTAATGTTTAACAATAAGAGGTCAAATTAAAATTAAGGGATTTCATTTTGTAAATTTTTAAGGTTGTGTTTGGATAAAAAATTTGAGAGTGGATTTGTGGAAGGAAAGAAAAATGAAAGGGAAAAGTTAATATATAAATATATATATATATTTCTTTCATTTTTGTTTTTTCTTTTAACAAATTCTTATTTAAATACCTGATTCAAATATAACCTAAATACAATGTTACCAGCTAGAATGAAAGTAAATAGACTATTTATTTTTTCAGCTAAAATGAAAGTAACAAATATTATTATAGCTTTGGAAGTTGCAGCTCTAAAATGAAACTAAATTGAATTTGAAGTAGCTCACTTGATTGCCAAAAAAATAGATGAGAAATCTATTTTTTAAAATATACTATTTATTTTTTCAGGAAATAAGTGCGTAACTTTTTTTAAGGATATTATACATGCGTTCTATATAAAATAAATTGTTCAAATCATTGAAACAGACGTGTCTGGACAACATCTTCTAATCTAGATTTAGACTGGATGGCAGCTTAACCCAATTTAAAATCAAAAAAATTACAATCAAGTCAACTTTTCAAAAATAATTACATGACACATGAAAACATTTATGACTTTAATAATTAAAATTCATAAACTTTCCATTAATTTAGACCCCAAAAAAAAATAAAAATTTGACATTCAACTAATTTGTTATTTTCCCTCTAAAAATCATAACACTAATAAGCTATAAAGTTGATCAAATAATATAATTAATAGGAACAATCACAAAAAAAAAAAAAAAAAAAGTTTCTAAAAAAAAAAAAAAGTTTCTAACACAAAATAATTAAAAAGTGAGGAAAGTACCCCAAAAAACTTGCAAAATTGTAATTATTTTTCTATTTTTTTCTTCTTACATTAATACCAATTCCAAATCCAAGTTAGTTTGATCCAACCAAATACCCGACCCGTTCACCAACCTTATCCAAACTATGTGATCTCACTCATCCTATGGCAATCCAAGATCATGGATCCACCATTCCAACGGCCAACTTCCATGGCCTCCATATTCCCTCCAGAAAATCACAGGTCCTCTCTCTCTCCATATATATAATGGAATTGTATATTATTTACGGATATATCAGTTGAAACTGTCTAGTATCAGTGTATATGACTGTATCACCGATACCGATACTGATACCGATCCCGATTTAAAACCATGATTGAGCTCCACAAAACAGGTAATCCAATGACAATATATTCTGTTGAGTTCTCTCCTCATTGCCTTCCCTATGGTACTCAGCTGATTAAGCCCACTTCACATTATCATCATCACAACTCTGTTGTGAGCTGTAGAACTAATGACAGTGTCAGTAGCCCCAGAAATCCACCAAAAGCTAGGGTTTCTGCTGAAAACGCAGGGTCTTCCAAACCATGCTATCATGAATACAAACATACCCATTTGATCAAACTGCTCAACAGGTCCTACAAATCAGGGAAATACAATGAGTCTCTGTATTTTCTTGAGTGTATGGTGAACAAGGGTTTCAAACCTGGTGTGATTCTCTGCACAAAGCTCATGAAAGGGTTCTTCAATTCAAAAATTGTTGAAAGAGCAATTAGGGTTATGGAGATTTTGGAGTCACATGGTGAACCTGATGTGTTTGCCTATAATGTCCTAATCAGTGGGCTTTGCAAGGTAAATCAGATTGAATCAGCCAACCAAGTGTTGAATCGGATGAGAAATCGGGGTTTTTTACCTGATATTGTCACGTATAACATCATAATTGGGAGTCTTTGTAGTAGGGGTAAATTGGAATCAGCTTTGAAGGTTTTGAATCAATTATTGAAGGATAATTGTAAACCTACTGTGATCACCTACACAATTCTGATCGAAGCAACCATCCTTGAAGGTGGTGTAAACGATGCGATGAAGCTGTTAGATGAAATGTTACAGAGAGGGCTTCAACCTGATATATACACTTATAATGCAATCATTAGGGGTTTGTGCAGAGAAGGGATGTTGGATCGCGCTTTTGATTTTGTTAGGAGCTTACCGGGAAAGGGATGCAACCCGGATGTGATTTCTTATAATATGTTGTTGAGGGAAGTACTGAATCAGGGGAAATGGAATGATGGTGAGAAGTTAGTAACCAAGATGTGCTCTATAGGGTGCAAGCCAAATGTGGTGACTTATAGCATCTTGATAAGCTCGCTCTGTCGCAAAGGCAAGATTGATGAGGCAGTTAGTGTCTTGAAGCTTATGATGGAAAAGGGTTTGAGTCCAGGCACTTACAGTTATGATCCGTTGATTTCCGCGCTTTGCAGAGAGGGGAAATTGGTTTTGGCTATAGAGTTGTTGGATTATATGATCTCTACAGGTTGTTCCCCGGATATTGTGAACTACAACACAATCTTGTCAGCCTTGTGCAAGAATGGCAATGCCGATCATGCTATGGAGATTTTTGACATGCTTGGCGAAATAGGTTGTCCTCCAGATGTCAGTTCTTACAATACAATGTTTAGTGCCTTGTGGAATAATGGAGATAGAACTAGGGCTTTGAGAATGATTTCGGAGATGGTAAACAAAAGGATTGAACCCGATGAGATTACATACAATTCACTCATATCTTGTTTGTGTAGAGATGGAATGGTGGATGAAGCTATTGGGTTGTTGGGGGACATGGAGGAGGGTAGTGGATTCCGACCAACGGTCATCACATACAATATTGTGCTCCTTGGATTGTGCAAAGCTCATAGAATTGACAATGCCATCGACACACTAGCAGAAATGGTCGAAAAGGGATGCCTACCAAATGAAACCACATGCATTTTGTTGGTTGAAGGGATTGGTTTTGCAGGGTGGCGACCCGAGGCAATGGAGTTGGCAAATTCCCTTTTTACAATGGATGTCATTTCAAAAGATTCGTTCAAACGTTTGAACAAAACGTTTCCTATGCTTGATGTTTATAAAGAAGTCACTCATACAGGAAACAAGAAGTAGCTTGTCATCAATCTATCTTTTGGGTTTACAATCTTTGAACTTATATTTCTCTGATTGAGAAAAGTGTACACCGGGGTTATGCTTTGGACATATTATGGTTTGAGAGGAAGTTCCATTTCATGATGGATCAACATTGACAGGGAATAATGTTGCTGGCTCCAGACAAGGCATGAGAGGGGAGATTTTGTAGTCATATTGTGTTCTTGATAACTGCTTACTTACAGAAGTTTTTGACCTAACATCTCTGCTAAAATTTCTACGTCTGTAGCTAATGTAATTTGCATGGATTTTTAAAGGACGAAAAATGATATGTGAGCTGACCACTAAAACAAGGTGGGGGTGGTGATATGGGCAGGCTGTACCGTCGTGCTACACTGAAGCTAGGCACAATAAAATCTGCAAAATGTAAGTTTTGAGAAGATTTGTACACGCAAAGTTGGCATTTTTTTTTTCCCATTGAAATATAGAATAATTCCCCTAATTTGAGATTTTTCCCCCTTACATTTTCATCTTATTTTTGAGTTATGTTAAGAATATCTGTTGTATTAGTGTCATTTAGAATTGTGTTTCACACTCCATGCAAGATCATAGACACATGTAATCTATACAAGCCATGACTCAAAGATCCCACATCGAAATGGTTTGAAGAGTGTAGCCATGTATGTTGTGTCCGTAAAAACAAACACTCGATCCCACATTGATATGGTAAAAAGAGTGCAGATTGCTCGCATCCACATAAACCATGACTCGATTTGAACGTTGTTGTATAAAGCATCCATGTGTATTCGGTTTTATACTCGATCTATTCTGTCGGCCTGTGGAGCATTACTCTTAAAACAAATTGTTTGCTCCCCAATTCAAAAAACAATAAAACCAAAAACTTCCCCAAGACCCTTCATAGTTTGAATTGAGGTGTGTCAAATTCAGACACAGCTGAGAGGATGGCCTGGGCTTGTTACTACATATCTTTAGTTCTTTGGAGGCTACAATGTTCTTGTGCAACAACGCAAAAAAAAAAAAAATGGCATATGCTAGCAAATTTTTGTTATTGTTTTGTCATTGTCTAATTTCATGCTTGTAATTAGTTTAGAAGAAATTATATTTAAAAAAAAAAACAAAAAGGAATGTCGTACAAAACATTCATTCAAGAAATTAGATTGCCTCCTGAGAACACTTAAAAAAATTCTAATTAATTAAAGCATCAAACCTACCTCATTTTTGCATCCCATCACCTAACACAAAGTCACAAAAAAGCCCAAAGTAAAACCAAACCCAAAATGATTTGATATACAATGCATAACATCTCTGAAGACAAGAAAGTTAAACATTCTCAAAGTGAATTGTTAGGTACAAAAGACCTGCAGCTGCTGTGATATATAACATCGTTGTTACCGCACTATAACGTCTACTCTTACAGAAAGCTTATGCAACCAGTTAAACTTTCCGAAATTGAAAAAACATTAAAACTCTTTTCAAAGTTGCTACATCTACCAAAAAACAGTATATCCAGTTTGAAGCAGGAACAATCTTCCAACTAGATCACTCAGATTCATAGATTCTGGAATACGAGGAAAACCATGAAGCTCGTATCCAAGAATTTGCTGTTAGGAGGCAGCAGCCCTTGTCAATCTTGTGGTTCAAATTCGTCAATGCATCCCAAAAGCTTCCCTCGCATTATAAATAAATAAATAAATAAAACTAAATGCTGGTAATGATTAAGATTGGACAATGATCAGCAACGACAGGCAAGATTCTGTGAACTTAAAGAGCACCATAATGACGTAAACATTCAAAGGTAGAAAAGAAATGATCAATTAGAGATGTTATAAAAGTGCACATAAACAATTTATGTTAGAATGGCATAGCAGAAGTAATGCCAGAATTTGCTGTTGTATCATCTTTGTATGAACATGAAAAACTACAAAAGCACAAAAACAGAAAGAGAAAGACAAGTTCACATTGTACTTAAACAGATAATAGTGAGAAAAAACATGCTCACAATGTACATTAAACAGATAATCACAATGTATGTGGCAAACAGAAAATCTAAACAAAAAAATAATTCAGAATCATGTGGCAAATTTTGATTTTATTACTTTAAAGCAAAAGACCCATTAAGATTGACTTATATGTTCAACAATCTCACTACCACATTATTCTTGTCATAAATTTTGTACTAAATTCTGTAGGTACATCATTTTCCTTATATAATAACAATTGCATAAGAACAGATAAAAAAAAAAAAAAAAACAATAATGCTAGGGAGAAGGACAATTGCAAACTTACGCCAACACAAGGGAATTAGTTGTATAAATAGTTATGAGTTTGTAAGTGTCCCTAAACTTACCCAAAAAGGAATTGATGGAACAGTCAATTTCTAAAAGATGGAATATTCACCAAGATACAGATGACAGATTAACTTTGTAAACAAGGATCACCTTTCAAGACTGTCATATGCCTCAAGCAGGTGATAAGCCTTGTAGCAGCATAATAAAAATTTTGAATTTATCTGTTCAATCCCACATGGTTTCTTCTCTGAAAACCTTCAATTCAATCAACTTCTGTCGCAATTCGGTAGCCTCTTCTGTCATACCAGCCGCAGATACCCCTTTGATTATAGCGGAATAAACATCCTCATCAGGTTGACATCGATTCGAAATCATTATTTGTAAGACCTGTATTGCAATATCCACTTTCTTGTTCTTACATAATCCCACGATCATGCATCTGTAAGAACTATTTTGGACTCTGTGGTTCCTCTTAACCATCTTCTTCAATATTTCCACACCTTCCTCAACTAGGCCCACCTGACAAAACCCCCATAATAAACATCGATGGGTGATATCATCAGGAATAATCCCATTCTCTATCATGCGCCCATACACTTCCATTGCTCTCTCCATACAACCATTTTTTGCCAATCCATCAATCACGATATTATATGTGATCAAACTAGGAGAACAACCAGTATCACCTAAAATATGAAGAATTTGGAGAACTTCGTCTGTCATTTCCTCTTTACAAAGAGCACGCAGGAGGATGTTATAGGTGATGATGTCAGGAGAGCAGCTTTGGCAAACCATATGGGCAAAGAATTCAATCGCACGATGTACCAGCCCATACTTGCAGAATCCATTGATCAAGATATTGTAAGTTACGACAGAAGGAGAATGGGAAGTGTTATTCATGAATGAGAAGATCTCATCTACCTCATCCCAATAGCCACGGCTACAAAGAGAGTGGAGGAACGTGTTGTAGGTTATAGCATTGGGTTCCATCCCACGTGATAGAAGATTATAAATAACCAAAGTTGTATCATCAAAGTTCCCTCGTTTACAAGTAAAATTAACCAGTGAATTGTAGGTCACAATATCAGGATAACACCCTTCAATTGCCAAATCTTCCAATACTTCTAAAGCCCGTACAATCCCACAGTGCTCGCAAACTAACTCGATGAGAATTGTATATGTGATCACATAAGGAGGGCATCCCTTTCTAAGTTGATCCTTCCAAAATCCAATGGCTTGATCAAACCTACCATGATCAAACATAGAGCGCAATATCGTGTTATAAGTAATCACATCAGGGGGGCAACCACTTAAGCTCATGTCCTCTAAGATGTCAGTGGCATATATTAACTGCCCCTTCTTACATAGCCCACCAATTAACATGTTGTATGTGATAATATCAGGAACGCCACCGGACATGACCATGATTTTCAAGATTCTGGAAGCTTTGTCTGTCTGGGCAACCTTGATAAGGCCCCTGATTAAGTTTTTGCAAGATGGGAAATGCGGAATTTGGTTTCGACGAGCCATCACTTCTATCAACTTAGATGCCTCGACTAACTTCCCATAACTACAGAAACGTTGAAGGATTTCATTATTAGTCTCTTCATCATTCCCAACAAAGGACCCATCTGAAGGCACTGCAGAGGAATGAAGATGCTTCTTTAAATGCATTTGTTCTCTAAGTTTCTTCTCTACACCCATCTCATATCTATCTGAGCTCCAGTCATCCTGGTCATCCTTGTTAACTCTATCAAGGCAAATACCTATTTGTTGGGCACTACACCGCAACGTAAGTGCATTTTTTCTAAAACCAACATCTCCCCTCCGTTGTAGAGAAGGTTGAATTTTGCAGTTACTCCTGGTAGAAAACCTGAAGTGAATTGCTGATGTTTTTGTTGACAACCCATGGCCAGTACCATAACTAAGGTCCGTTTGGTTGGAGATCAAATTCAGATTATGCATATAAGGAACCTCAACAAGTAATTTCTGAAGTATAACTGTGTGACCCATTTGTCACTTCTCAATGAATAATAAAAGGGATTACAAAGAGGTGTATATCATCTGTTTGGCTTCCTCCTCTCAATTCATGAACAAGATTGTTGTCACAAGCTGAGAAAACACAATTCGATGGAGTTAGAACCAAAGGGGCAAAAATAAATAAATAAGAACAAAGAAAAAAAAAAAACAGCTAGAACCACTCCACCTTGGAAAGATATTCCGGATTACAACAAATTGGATTTCTTGGACTTGGGCATGAGAACATCAGCCATCTTTTATAACTGCAACAAACTGAACCCAGGTCACATAAATTAAATAAAACTCTGTTTCACCACACATTTACAGTCCATTTGGTAAACAAGGTGAGAAAATAAATGATTGTGATTTCACACCGTTGTGTTTGGATGAACAATAAATAAAAGATAGCACAAGTCATTTTCTTTTGTATTTAAATGGATAATTTAGGTATTTTGAAACAATGTTATACAATAATTTTTGTTTCTCACAAGTCCCATCAATTTTAGCGTGTAAAAAAATATAAGTTTTAAGGGCATCTCTAACACTTGGCTTAAACCTATATCAAAATTAAATTCGGGTAAAAATCACTCAAAACACTCTCCACTCCTTGACTCAAACTTATATCAAATTTGAGTTTCACCCTTCTTCTTTTTTACCGAAATCAAGGAAGACTCAAATGTTTACTCAAAATTTTCACAACCATTTCATAGCTTTCAAATTTACAAACTGCCATTAGTGTGTTACTGAAACTGTTACCAAAATTTATGCTTGAATATGAGTTTGTCCATTGGATGTTTCATATCAAATAAGGCTTTAGCTTTAGCTCAAATTTGAGTAAAGAATTGAGTACGGGCTAAGTTACCTCTTTTCTCACCATTTCTCTCCAATTCTAAGTATTTCTTACCTCCACAATCATTCAAACAAGTTATGATAGTTCTTTTTCTCCCCATTTATTTTATTTTCTCACCAAACCCATCAACCCAAACAAGCTGTTAGATTATTAATAGGCTAATATTTCAAGAACATCAACAATTCACCAAATTCGAGGAGAGAGCGAGACTCAACTTCTGAAACCCAACAAATTCAAAGACCCAGTTCACTTGCTTATCGATAAAAATAAAAAATAAAAAATAAAAATTTAAATTGATTGAAAGAAAGAAAGAACTCATTTCACGAAATAAAAATTTCCAACTGAGAACAATCTGTAGTTGGCTAATACTGTACATGACACACACATACACACAAATTAAAAAAGTGAATTACCGTCCAATTATTCACAACAATGGAAAAGATGAATACACGTACCGTCTCAGCTTCTTTCTGTATATCTCTCTGTGGCAGATGAACAGTGAGTAGTAACCTTGCTGAGTTGCGGGTTTTGAAGGGTTTTCTTGGTTTGTTCAACTGATTGATAACTAGGGTTGCAAATGCAATTAGGAAAATTACAAGGAGCTCCCTAGTCTATCAATGGTTCCAATTTTTTAAATTTAAGTTTTTTATGTTTAGTATTTTTTTTTTTAATTAAATTTTTTTATATTTTTAATATTTTTTAATGTTTTTAAATATACTTAATATAAATATAATTAAAAAGTATAATATTTGTGAATTTTTTTTAAATTTTTTTACTAAATATTAAAAATATAAGAATTTAGTATATTTTCATATTCTTGTATATTTATTAATTTTTTTTATTTTTTAGGTATATCTAGGTTAGGTACATTTAAAAAGTAAAAAAAAAATTACAAATACAAAATACAAAAAATAAAAAACTCAATTTTCATATTTTGATAATTAGGTTAAAAATCTGTTTTTTAATTTTTTGAATTTTTTGAGTTATAACCTCTCTATGTTTTTGCATGTTTTTTTTAAAAAAGCCAAAAAATAATTTTAAAAATATTTTTTTAACATATTTTTCAAAATAAGTCTTAATGTGTCAGTCTAATTGTCAGTATTGTATTAGATATGAGTTACACACAAATTATACGAATTATTACACTCGTTGATAAGTAAAATAATAAATATAATGTCATAAAAAAAATATGAAAAGTATATTATTATAATTTTAGATATGAATCATATGATTTTTAGTTATGAGATTTTTGTAGTGGTTAAATATAATTTTTTTTTTTTCTTTTTTTTTGGGTGTGGTTTTGTAACAATGACGCAAATTTATTTATTTATTTATGTTTTTACAGTTAAAACAATATTATTTAGTTAATAGATAAGGTCAGCACAACTTGTGCAATTGACAATTTTTAAGAAGCTCAAACCCGAAAGCTAACAAATGTCTAAAGTGTCTTTAAGGTATAAAACAATAACCTAAATAATAATAATAATAATAATAATAATGACATGGACAGGCCCACGAGGCATACAACCCACGGCAAACCACCCCGAACCCATCGCTTTGGACCCATAGCATAACCCGGTTGACAAAGCCCAGGACAGCTGGAGACCACCTGGACGTGGAGAGCCAAGGGCATTCGGACACATGGCAGATGAAACACAGGCCACATCAGCAGATAAAGATCTGCAGAGTTATTGCCACAACACATCACCATTAATGCAGCCTATCACAGCATTTATTACGACAACACCTCCCCGTCGGAACAGAGCCCCCTCACCCTGAACAAGGAAAGCTACGGCACAGGCTTTCGGCGGAAGGGGGCACGTCACAAAAGACAGTGAAATGATTACCAAAGGATATAAGCAAGAATGGAAGACAAGAGGAAGGTTAAGTTTTTATCCCTCTCTCTCTCTCTCTACATTTTTCCTTCTTCCTCTACTGATTCTCTCGTCGGAGGGTTCACTGGGGGACTGCCCCGTTCCCCTTTGGGCTTGCTTGCAGGTCATCTGGTAGAACCATCCGCCTGAACCAGAACTTGAAGAGCCTGGACCAGCCCGACCCATCCACCCAGGACGAACTGCACTATCAGTTGGCGCCGTCTGTGGGAAGCTTTGTGGTTTATTCGTGCGCTAGTTGTGTTCACTATTGCCGGAGCCCTCTTTTCTCACCGTTACCTCTTTCTCTCACCCGTCCAGGTATATGGTCACGACTAAGTCCATGGCTTCTCACCATAATACCACCGATCACCAAACAGACCCTTCCCATCCAAACAACCCACCACAATACATCATCGAACTTACTAACAGCATTAACCGCATGGCCGAGCAAAACTACGCCCTGATCAGTGCCTTACTCCAAAGAAACCTCCCCGCCCCACCTCCAGATATTCCACCAAACCAAGAAAGAACCCCGGGCCACACTGCTCCACAACCCCCTCCGCCCAACCCAGAAGGTTTACAACCCCCTGCCCCTCCACATATGAGCCTACCACCTCCACCTCCACCCCCCCAACCAAGGAACAGCCCCAGACCATCTCGCTCCACAGCCCCCTCCACCTAACCCAGAAGGTTCGCAGCACCTTCCTCCCCAACATGAAAACATACCACCTCCACGCCCGCCGGTTGCAGTACTGACCCCTGAGGGGGAAGCTAGCAGCGTCCAGCCTCCATTGGCCGACCATGGCGACACCACCCCCCTCTGGGACGCTGAAATCCGAGCTATGAAACTCCAACTACAAGGGGTCATGCAGAACATCCAGCACAAGCCCTCGGCCACCGCCAACTCACCTTTTGTTGCCTCCATCCGCGACAAACCATTGCCTGCCAAATTCAAGATGCCTACCATTGACTCCTTCGATGGCACGACGGACCCAGTCGACCATCTGGAAACCTACCGCACCCTCATGGTCCTCCATGCCTTTCCTGATGAGATCATGTGCCGAGCTTTTCCAGTGACACTAAAGGGATCAGCTCGGCTGTGGTTTAGCCAGCTACCGGCGGAATCCGTCTCCGCCTTTCAACACCTCAGTGACTCATTCCTGAGCCATTTTATTGGAGCCCAGCGTCAGAGGCGCCCGGCCACCCAGCTCCTTAACATTCGTCAGACTGAGGGGAAGTCGCTCCGCAGCTTTGTCACCCGTTTCAATACCGAAGCCCTTCAAGTAGCGGAAAATGACGACAAGGTCATCCTCACCGCCTTTATGGCCGGCCTGCGGTCGTCTGACTTCCTCTTCTCCCTCTCCAAAAACCCCCCAACCACCATGGCAGCCCTACTGTCCAAAGCTCAAAAATACATGAATGCAGAAGATTCCCTGGCCGCTCGACAAGAGCCGACCCCTAAAAATCTGACTCCCAGAGAGAAGAGGAAAGACTCCGACCCCAGAACCGCCCAGTATAATGACCGCCCCCCCCGAACTGACCCAATCGACCTCCGAGCCGACCGGTCGGCTCCGACTCGACCGCCCGGTCGGTTTGAGCGATACACACCTCTCAACTCCCCTATGGAGCACGTCCTCAATCAGATTCAACGGGACTACCCTCTCAAGTGGCCCCTACCTTCACGAAACCCTTCCACTCGAAAAGATCAGTCCAAATACTGCCATTTCCACCAAGACCATGGTCATACCACCGACGAGTGTATTAACCTCAAAGATCAGATCGAGACCTTCATACGCCAGGGCCGTCTCAGCCGATTCACAGACCCCCGCCCTCCACAGAGGCAAAGAACCGACCTCACCAGGAACAATCGCCGACAAACACCACCCCGCAATCAAGCCCCACCTAACCAAGGCCACGATCGCCCACCACCACAACCTCAGCCTCCTGGTAATCCCCCTCCACCAGTTGGAGAAATCCGAGTTATTTCAGGCGGTCTTGCTTGCAGGGGACCATCCCGCTCGGCTCAGAAGGCAGAACTCAGAAAAATCAGGCAGGGCTCAGACAAAGTAGTGGCGACGGTGGACCGACCTCCCAAACAGTCAAAATAATGGATCGAGCCTATCACGTTCACCGACACTGACTGTGCGGGAGTCCGTTACCCACATGATGACCCCCTTGTCATTTCTGCCATCCTCTCTAACTACAAAGTCAGACGAGTCCTCATAGACAACGGCAGCTCTTCAGACATTATCTTCCTCAATTGCTTCCGCCAGCTCAAGATTGGGGAAGAAAACTTGTCTCCTCTCCAAACCCCTCTGGTCGGCTTCACCGGCGACCGTGTGACCTCCATCGGCTCCATCGATCTACCTATCACCATTGGCGAGCACCCGCGGCAGACCACTAAGTTGCTCACCTTCCTTGTTGTCGACTGCCCCTCCGGGCAGGAGATTTGTTTTTTGTGATGGATGAGGAATTAGCATGCGGACAACCATCATTTATATACCTTGTTAAAATTTTAATTCTAAATATGAGTAACCAGAAATCAAGGTTCACACCTACCCTTTCCAAATAATACTCATTATCTTATGGTTCATATAAAAAAGGGCCATAACAGGGAATGCGAAGAGAAAGATGCTAACCAGAAAAAATGGCCGTTCGGGATGAAATGAATGCGGGCCACTATCTAGACAGCTGGTTTAAATCGCCGTTTTCCATCACCAATAGGTCGGAATATGAAGTCTAACGTCAGACGTTGTCGACGTAGACTTCCATATTCCGACCTATTTGGTGATGAAAACGGCGTTAACCAGCCGCTGATAAGTGGCCCCAGCATTCTTCAATCGAACGGCATTACACAGTAGTAGTAGGTACCTCGGTCGGTAATAATGATGTGTGCTCCTGGTCAGATGTGTGCATCAGGATTTGGTTGTACCCAGAGAAGGCATCCATGAAGCTGAGCATTTGATGACCGGCCGTGGCGTCGACCAGCAGATCTATGCGAGGAAGGGGGTAGCTGTCTTTGGGACAAGCTCGGTTCAGGTCAGAGTAGTCGACACAGAGCCGCCTTTGCCATTGTGTTTGCGGCCGAGGACCACGTTGGACAACCACTAGGATAGTCCACATTTTTGATGAATTGGGCCTCAAGGAGTTTATCAACTTCGGCAGCTATAAGGGTGTTGCGCTCCGGATGGAAAATGCGTTGCTTCTGGCGGTGGGGTCGAAAGTGGGTTCGATGCTGAGGCGATGGGTTATGAAGGAGGGGTCGATGCCTGGCATGTCAGAATGGGTCCAGGCGAATACATCTCTGTGCTCGGTCAGGAGAGCAGTAAGGTCGGCCTTGGCTTGGAAGGTAATTGGCTGCCAATCTTGGCGTTTTGATTGGGTTGGTGGGGATCAATGTTAACTTCAACAAGTTCCTCTACAGGTTCACCTCTGACGAGCTCGTTCCTCGTCTCGGACGTCAAGCCCTTCAATGATCATGGCCTCTTTTAGCTTGACTTCTTTGAGTGAGGCGACATAACACTCCCTGGCCACGGTCTGTTCTCCTTTGACAGTTCCGACACCGAGATCGTAGGAAATTTGATGGCAAGATGATAAGTAGATGTGATGGCTTTGGAAGGCGTTGAGGGCTGTGCGGCCAAGGATAATGTTGTAGGCAGAGGGGCAGTCGACCACAAGAAAGGTGAGCAACTTAGTGGTCTGTCGCGGGTGCTCGCCAATGG